TTTTATCGGAGAAAAAAACGTGCGATAGAACTTTTTGATATAATTTTCGAAAAAGGTTCATTAAAAAGGTCCTTTAGAAAAAGTAAAACAAATTACGAAATTTTGGAACTGTCGGCGGATTCTCGATATTTATGGTCAGTGGCTCTTAAGGCTACAGAACTTGTATGGATTTTTGGATGTTTTCCATGTTTACTAGCGGATAGCTCCAATATGAGGTACAGTCAAACCTCGATTATGCGGACCTCGATTATCCGGACTTCTCGATTATCCCGACTTTTTCTCTGGTCCCGTTTTTTTCATGATTATTAATGAGCTTTGATTTTCCAAACTTTAGGAGGTAAAAAGATTCAGAGATTATGTCTAAATTCAGGAAAAGTGCGTTTAAAACAGCGCATTACCTCTTCCGCTTTCAAAAGTGTGTTATCTTTATTTCTTTTGTTTACATTATTGTCTCATTAATATTCATATTTTCGATTATCCGGACTGATTACCTAGGTCCCAACAGGTCCGGATAATCGAGGTTCGACTGTACGTTCTTACACTAAAACTGATTGAATTTGTTTGAAATTCTGCAACCTGTATTCACTGTTCGTTTTGTTTGTATGGTGTAACACCTACCAAAAGGATCAGAATATAAGATACTAAAATTTTTTCGGATCCGGTTCGGGTTTTGTCAATCGGACGCAATCCGATCCAGGTTTTGTTAATCCAGTCCGATCCGGTCTAGGTTTTGTCAATCCGATCCGATCCGATCCGGTCCAGGTTTTGTAAATGCCCGTCAGAGTGTCACGACGAATAGCCAAGATGACGAAGCAAAAAGAAACAGCAAAACAAAAGCATCAGTAAAGCAATTAAGCAAACGCTCAATAGACGTCTTTTTCAAGCAAATAAGAAGTGAGCATAACTAGATCACGGAGGGTCGTGGGTTCAAATCCCATCTGGAAACTCGATTTTTAAATAAGAAGTGCTCCTGGAAATATTAATATTGATAGCGAACAGAGTTAAATTCGACGTTTGAATCAAATGCCGTATTTAACTATTTTAGTCGACTAAAATAGGAGTTAAGTTCGCCACATGTGAAATTCGACGTTTGAAGAGGGCCTCAGTTTCATCTAGAGTTCTTCTGCTAAACATTGTTTGGGTTTACTTGCCCAAAGTAATCTTACGGTATTTATTTATTTGACATTTATCTGTTCTGGTACTAAAATGGTTTGATAGATCTCGTGACGCAGACATTACAGTGGGCCAACGAGTATCAGAATGGGATGTTTTGTTTGTGGCTTGGGCCAACATACCCTTTTATCTTCTTGTACAAACCTGAACTGGTGGAGGTTAGTGAGTCATTGATATCTTTCATTTCCTTTGATTTACACATGTATACCTGCAGGACTCCAAGCTCACCTTTTCTTCTTCAAAATGGTTTGACATGTATTCAGCAACCTTAAGATCATTATTTGTTTACCAGAAATACAACCATCGGAAATTTCCCTAAAAAATAAAAGAAAAGCAGTTATAAACGAAAACAGCACAAAAACACATGCAGGAAATATTGTTGTTATATGTTATGTACATGTAGCATTTTGGCATGTAATTTTTTTGGAAGGCTTGTGTGACTATTTTTTTTTTTTGGAAAAAATACAGAGGAGGAAAAGGAGAGTTTCTATGAGAATGAAATGATAAAGTGTAAATGATTTGCATTCAGAAGTTTTTCTCACTTTCACCAAAGACCATAACATAAATACTTGGAAGCAAAATGCTAGATACAGCTATCATTACGGAATCGCGCCCATTGAAAAACGTCGGACGGGAAAATGCAAATAAGCTAGAAAAGAGAAAGAGAGCATGCGTAACTTCATGCAGGCCTTCCTTTCTTTAACATCTAGAAATGGTTAGATATTCTAGTCTTCTCGGATAGGGACGAATAAATGGAGGTCCCGTCTCCTGCAGGGTTAGGGGCAGGAGACGTTAATTTCCCACGCACGAGATTACTGTGTGATGGATGTCCTCCCCTGGGGTGGGATGGGTGGGTAACAGGACCCCCGTTGATACCAGTGTTTACTACACTGAAGGGGCTATCCTGTATAAATATAGATGTCTGTCTGTCTGTCTGT